GATCATAATGATCAAAGACCGTCTGCAACTGTCGCCTAACATTTTAACAAGATATCTTGGAGTTTATTTTTAGAAACTTGAGTACCATAAAGTAAGAATCCATTATGATAATATCACTTATACCAAACAAAGAGAATATATTTGGTCAATTTCAACAAAAACTGATTATACTATTGGAGGAGAGAAAACTATGATATGATCAATATAAAGTCATATACTGTGTAGATGTTAAAAAAAAAAAAAAAAAAGTCATACTGTATTTTGATGAATATCTACTTACGTGTGATAAGAATATCATAAGAATCATATGATATTTGTGTGATTCAAAAGAGGAAAGAGGAAGCTAATGTGGAAGCATGTGCTTATCCTCTCAAGTTGCTAGATTCAGCCACGTGTTGACGTGGCACTTTGTACATATATTAGTATCGCAGAAAATTACTATATACATGAGTTCGGTGTTGCATGTAAATGTGTGTATGTGTATCAGTGTATGTGTTATATAAGTTCGATCGCTTGTATCGTCAGATGATACATTCGATACGAATGGGGCAGGTGTGACCATCCCCACGTGTGATTTCACATGCAATTAAGAGATTTAAAAGTAAAGTCTTCCAGAGACGCAAATAATTAGAGACCACAATATAAAAAATGAATAACAAAAGATTTTTTTTTTTTGATAAATTCTATATCTGGCCAGCTCCGATAGAAACGTACCGAAATACTTCAGATTAGATTTTTCTCTGAAGGATCACTACATTGTCTGTTCCGAATTAGAATGCTTTCCAATTAATATCAGAGAGTAGTTAGATCGCCTATTACCGACTATCAAATAAACTGTTTAGCCCAAACCAAGACTTCCCACACATATGTGATTTTTGTTTGTAAGATGTAGCGAACTTAGGTTAATTCCTTCTAATATTTCCCTAGTTCTCTTTTACTACTAGACTACAAGATGTGTGGAAAAAATAATTAAAAAAAAAAAAAACTTTGAGTTGAGTATAAGGACAATAATAAGAGTAAGGAAGGATAAATGTTAAGGTATTTAAAAGTATGCAACCGAATGTATCACCAATACCTTTTAATGACTATAATGCCACATCACTCTGGCCAGAACCCTAACGAGAGGCCACACGTCCCACATTGCATTTTTAAACAGAAACACCCATGAAGGATTTTGCATTAACGTTTTCTTTTCTTTTCTTTTGTGAACTGGCTTCTACGTTTGAGTATGAACGACAATCTCTGATTACGGTTTATGTTATTATATTTGTACACAATATACTTGTCAAATTTGTGATTGACCATCAACTTTTTTTTTGTTAAAGAATCACTGAGCAACATATATAGTTTTTAACATGTTTCAATCATTTTAAGAAGCTTAGAATTATAAATCAATTAAATATATATTCATTTCAGCATATTTTGTCTGTAATTCTAAAACGAAAGCTGCATATACAAGTATATATAAATGGATTAAAAACAAAATCTAGGTGATTTTCTCCAATCTTTAAATGCAAGTACTCGATCATACTAGCTTCATTATTGAAATAAATCACGAACATATGACAATTATAGATCATCAGATATAACGTTTTGAATTACATGTCAAACTGCCCATCAACACATTCGTAATCAGACCAAATCCATCAGCATGCCAAGTTGGTCAACCCATTCGCCAACAAACATGATACATACTGCCATTGTCGTGTCCGTCTATCCGTAGGTGCTGGTTCGCATTCCTATTATATAAACTATAAAGCGACCTGACCAAGCTTGTCTTTCCATATCGATCGGTGGACCAACTCACACACGTATACGTCCATTAGAAATAGATTTTATTTATCTTTATTCCATTATTATCCCAATCGCATCAACGCTCACTCATTCTTATGGGTAAGATCTCATTTCGACCTATCAAGAAAAATAATTTTATCGACCTATCAATGTTGTTGTGGTCGTTACGTATGGTAATCATTGATAAATTATATAGATACATTTTGAATAGGTTTTATATATGATATAAAATCGAATCCAAACCCTCAATAGTTATAAGAATTGGTGTATACATATACAGGAAACTATAAACAGTTAATTCATTTGAATATTGTTTTGGTTGTACTATACAAAGGATGCTTGATTAGATATCTTATAAAGTTTTGATTGTTTGATTGTGTTTGTCTAGACGTTTTTTGGAAAACTGGCTAGAAATAAAGATAAGAAGACGCGGTAAAATGACACATCATCTACCTAAAGGACGGTAGATATTTCTGTAGAAACTAAGAGACACTAGTCATTAGATAATATCTTATAAACAAACTACATATTAAAATTGAACATATAATGTAGAAGATATTGGAGGTTGAATTAAAGTATAGAAGTATAGGATACGAAATGTTGTAGATATAAAATAATACGACATGAAATCCCTAATCACGTGCCTTAATTGCTGGGCCTTCCTTTTTCCACCTTAAAATAATTACTTTTATTTGCTTCGTTATTTACAGAGGAAACCCGCCTCCTCATCTGGCGGGTTGTTCCCCACAAGCCTTTTTCTTTTTGTTTCTCGAACTCTCAACTTTTTCGCAAGCCTTAATATTTTAACTAATTACCTATTAAAGTTTTCGATTTGATCTTTTAATTTGGCTACGTTTAATCGAATATTAATTATCTACAGTATGCAGGAAAATGTTATTTAACCGCGGCCCAATAATATTTATTTTACCAGGGACTTGACCATTTTCTTTGACCCAAAAGGCGTAGCTAGTGTTGTTATTTTTTTAGTTCTCACTTTGCATATATCCTACTCTATTACCCTCTTCAACTTTATTTGGTAAACACCTATTACATATATATTAAGGAGCGAAGCTTTCTATTCACGAATTTACTTCTCTTATGATGTTTTAGATAGTAAATAAAAAAATTCACAATGCAACTATTTTTTTTTCTAAATATTAAGGAGCGAAGCTTTCTATTCACGAATTTTGTTCGTATTACTCGAGACACTTTGTATATATCTATGACGATTAAACTATAGCTTTTAATATAAATAATAATATGGATTGTCATGTAAATAAATCTTTTCATTGATAATTGGGGTGAAAATGAATTGAGTAGTGATATTACTTGTTTACTAAATTTAGTAATAAGCTGTTAAAAATAACCGATGATTCATGCAAGATCTACCCTCGGATGAAAACGTAGGTTAATACACTTTGTACGTGCAAATTCAGAATAAAACAGAAATAAGAGCGCTCAAAATGTGAAATATTAATTAAAGAGGGGTCAAACTGTAAATAAAAACGTAGCCGAGTAAAAAAGCTAAGAAAACCCGACCCGGAAGAGCAAAATCAGGTTTAGGTGGGGTTAAAAAAAAAATGGGGAGAGCAATGCATGTACGACAAGTGGAGAGCGTGGAACGACTAGTGGTTTGGTTTGGAGTTTAGGGGTAAATTGGTCAATTCCAACGCCTCCCAGATCTTTTGCGACCTTGTTCTAGACAAAATTTCTCCTCCGCAGTCCTATTAAAAAAGTCACCTCCACAACAAAACAATTGTTCTTTTTTTTTTTTTTTAATATATGATAAGTCTATTGAAACAAAATTACTAAGTAAATTATACATGCGAATAGTATAACATAGAATCAAATCAAGGCATGAGCGAAAATAATATTTTCCACTCTGTTCAAAATGATAGTTGGTTCGATTTGGTTACGTTTAACAAATCCATCTATATATCTCTATTCGTTTAGCTTCTCTTTCTTGATTGATTCTGTAATCAAACATCATTTTACACACACAAAATGATTTACGGTTCTGCAACTATCATCAAGTCAATATGTTAGAACGTAATACTCGTTTGGGTGGTTGGTGATTTTTATTGTTTTAAACTAAACATGATTACATTGAAAATTCTCACATGTCTAATAGTACTCAATGACTCGTAAAACTCTCACATATCTAGTACTCAATTCTCACCTATGCCAAGAAAATTAATTGTTAAGGTATTCGAGAGTAAAAGATAGGTAGCTAATACTCCATGCATGTTTTATGAATCCACTTGAACAATTATAACAGAATCCCAAACTGACATGATCTTCTTTGCCGTTTCATGTGAAAAGTTTTCTTTGGAACTTTCTTATGTGAATCAGTTCATTTTTTCCTCCTTTGCACAGGTCATCGTCATAGTCACCGTTACTCATAACAAAAGAATGCTCACTATATAGTATCCGAAATTGAGATGATGTGATGTTTGTCGACTTTGTAAGAATATATGTGATTTCCTTTTCCCACAATCATTGCATGCTCATACTATATAAATCTTCCATAACTCGAATTCGAAACTTTTGTATCTTTTATTTTCAACAAACGGTAAACAATGTTAGGAACAGCATTTTAAGCCATATTAGTAATTTAAAATTTGGTACCGAAGAACCGAACGTCTAGACCTATGATTCATACAAAGAAAGTTCACTCCCATCAATCATCAAGTAAAAATTTGCATAGACATCAAACCAAATACACATGCACTGAAAAAAGTAACAACAAGAGATTTTTTTCTCTAACAATACAATGTACCAAATTCAAGCCATATTAGTAATTTAAAATTTGGTATTTGTATCCACACCAAATTTGAACTATATAGTACAGTATTAATTAAAGTGACAGTCTTCTTTTTCCCCCGAGATTAATTTAAGTCACATTTGTAAAAAAAAAAAAAAAAAGTTTTAGATTAAACTTAAGTGATAGTCAAAGGTCATGAGTCGGACAAATTTTGTGTAACTGGTTATAAGTTAGTATTACATTACAAAATGAATTAAGTAAGATACGTCTCATAAGAAAGAGTAAAATAATTGAAAACAAAACGTTAAAAGCTACAGTAGTAATTAGTAAAATAAATAAAAATACATCGCTCTCTAAAATCCCCTCCGGTATTACGCCGGACGACACAGAAGAAACCGCTTCTACTTTTTTAACTCTCTCCTATCTCTCTACATGCACATTCTCTCTCTCTCTCTCTACTGCAACTTTTGTATCTTTTTATATAAATTAATTAATAAAATAAAACGATTTTCTTTTTCTTTATAAGTATACGTCTGAGACGTTCCTTAAAGAGCTTCTGCTTCAGCTTCTTCAAATCTCAGACACGCCAGTGTTTACATGCATTTGCTCTCTTGATTTCCTTGAAACTTTGTTTTAAACTCAAAACACATGCAAAATAGATAAGATCTTCTTCTGATAATAACCTCGTGATTATCGTTTTACCAAGTCTTCTTCTTCTTCTTCTTCCTTACCACACAAATGCAGCAGAAGTACTAATAGTGTAACGCTTATAATCAGGTTTGTATTTATACAAAAAAAAAAAGAAAGAAAAAAAAGACAAACCTTTATTTCTGGGTTTCTTCTTAAATCTTCTTTGTCCTTTTCTACAGTATTTCACATTAGAACTTTGTAGGCGTTCCCATTCTCTCTTTTTCTCTCCTAATATATATATATATATATATTTTTTTACTTTAAAATATAATCTCAGCTCAGGCAGGATTTTACCAAAGAAGAAGAACAACAACAAACAAGAGAGAGAAAAAGTAATTGTTTTTAGTTTGATGGCTCCGATGACGAACTGGTTAACGTTTTCTCTGTCACCAATGGAGATGTTGAGGTCATCTGATCAGTCTCAGTTTGTCTCCTATGACGCTTCTTCCGCCGCTTCCTCCTCTCCTTATCTCCTCGATAATTTCTATGGTACCTTTCTTTTTTCTTCTTCTCCTCTCTCCATCTACCAAATTTTCTCATTCTTTTTTTTTTTGTACGATATATACATACGAATGATTGTGGTGTCAACAGTACACATGCTCGTGTAAGTTATAGGCTCTCTGAGTAGTAACCGACTTGGTAGCTTATCCTCTCTCTCTAACCGAGTTTTGCTGAACTCAGCCTCCCTAGCTCGTGTTTTCTCTCTGACTTTGTCTCTTTCCCGAGAAAAGGCAAACCAAACCAAAAAAAAATCTAATTTTTATTTTCTTCTAGCTCATACGGAAAAATAATAGAGACTTCTCGTGATCTTTCTTCTTTGATTTTTTCCATATTTTTGTTGCTTTTAATCTTCTGGGTATCTAAATCCATGTACTTTCTCCGTTATGAAACCCAAAGTATTTTCCTTTTCTCGTTTTCTTTCATTAATTTCCCCGGAAAATAACTTGTTCTTGGTGATGATGATGATGATGTTTTTTTTTTTTGAAGGTTGGACGAACCAAAAACCACAGGAGTTTTTCAAAGAGGAAGCTCAGTTAGCAGCAGCTTCAATGGCGGATTCAACAATCTTAACAACATTCGTAGACCCACAATCTCATTCCCAGAATCACATCCCAAAGCTCGAAGATTTTCTCGGTGACTCTTCTTCTATCGTTCGTTTCTCTGACAACAGTCAAACCGATACTCAAGACTCTTCCCTCACTCAAATCTACGATCCACGTCACCACCACCATAACCCCAACCAAACCGGGTTCTACTCCGATCACCACGATTTCAAAACCATGGCCGGTTTTCAAACCGCTTTCTCGACTAACTCCGGTTCAGAGGTCGATGACTCTGCTTCAATCGGACGGACTCATCTTACTGGAGAGTATTTGGGACACGTGGTTGAATCTTCCGGACCGGAGCTAGGGTTTCACGGTGGATCTACCGGAGCTTTGTCACTTGGGGTTAACGTTAACAATACTAATCACCGGAATGATCATGATAGTAATCAGATTACTAATCATCATTACCGAGGTAATAACAACGGTGACAGAATCAACAATGAGAACGAGAAGACAGATTCTGAGAAGGAGAAAGCTGTTGTAGCTGTGGAAACATCAGATTGTTCTAATAAGAAGATTGCTGATACGTTTGGTCAAAGGACTTCGATTTACAGAGGTGTTACTCGGTAAGTATATAATTAAGAATCCAAGAAGTTGTTATTAGGAATTAATTAAGTACTCTTTTGTGATTTGTCATTGACAAAAGGTCAAGACTTTATTATTGAAGTTTTGATCTTTTTTGTTTAAATGTAAGTATTAATGTAAATATTTGATTGATGTAGACATAGATGGACGGGAAGATATGAAGCTCATCTATGGGATAATAGCTGTAGGAGAGAAGGTCAGGCCAGGAAGGGACGTCAAGGTATATTTTTTTCTTTCAGTTTCAATATGTATTTGATGATTTCACTACATTAGATAGTGAAAACCGGGTTTTCTCATGTCTATTAACTATTAAGTGGGTTTAGAAGTAAGTAGAGTGAAGTATAGGACAAAGGATTTGTCAAAGAAAATTGAATGCAAGTTTCAAAAGAAGCTTTACCTTTTTCTTTTTTCTATTGATCTGTCTATATCTTTATATGATGATTGATACAACTTTGGGTGATTTTTGCATTTGTGAAGGGGAGCCAAAGTTTTTTTTAACTTGACAATACTTTTGAGTCAGGATTATGGAAAAAAAGGAAAAGACATAAATAAAATATTAGTTGTTGTTGTTGTTGATTTTTCATATATTTAGCAGAAGGGTGCCGCCATTTTGTTCCTTTGTCTTTATTACATTTTTCTTTTCCTTTCATTTCACACTCTTACACATACTAAAGCCTAAAGGTACATTAGATGGGGTCCCATGGCATTGCCTATATGATGCAATCTCTGTTTCTCTGATTGACATGTTTTTGGACCCACTTTGACCCTCTAATCCTACTCTTCACCTACATATTACTACTCTCTGTAAGTGTTAGCATATATATATATATATATGATTTGATGTTATGCAGGCATGTGATGTGAGACCATTGGACTGTTTTCATCTGTTTTAGGCTTATAGGGGGTAGTAGAGAGTACTAAGGTTGATTAGAGATTGATTTTGAATGCAAAATATAGTGTGTGTAGTGAAGAAAGATCAGGAATTTGAAATTAATAATGTAAGTTCTCAGAGATGGGTGTAGTGTTTCTTCTGTCCATATGGTGTCAGATTGATTTATGTGTAGTGTTCACATCAACAAAGCAAAGTCTGAATATTCTCAGTGGCTTTTGCTTTATTTTTATATTTTTTTGCTTTGGGCTACCAGTACCACCACAACACAAGAGTGGGGATCTAGCCTTTGACCACATCCAATCTCTTTTTGTTTTTTATTTCGTTTTTTTCTTTCAAATTCTCTCACTTTTGCTTTCTGAGTACTAGACTGGTATTTATTTTCAAAAACATTCTTAAAACTTAATATAATGTTTGATAACTAATTTGTGCCTTAAGAATGGTCTGCATTATCTTCTTGCATAGCATTATCAATGATAGAATGTCTGTAGAATTGTTTTCTAATCATTGCTTTGGCTAAGTCTCGTACTCTTTTTTCGCATGTGCTACTCGATATGGGGATGCATTTCGGCTCTGCTTAAATCAACAGTATACTTGGGTAAGAACAAATATCTTAGTATGTGAATAATGTTGAATATGTATCTGTGGTGTCTAACTTTGTTAATGATTCAGGTGGATATGACAAAGAAGATAAGGCAGCTCGAGCTTACGATTTAGCGGCTCTTAAATACTGGAATGCTACTGCTACTACCAATTTCCCTGTAAATTACCTTCTTTCTCTTCTTCTGATTTTATCCATTAGTAGTTTATATAACTTGTTCAATCTTTTACTAATCCGTTCTAATGAATTTTAGATTACGAATTACGCGAAAGAAGTGGAGGAAATGAAGCACATGACCAAGCAAGAGTTCATTGCCTCCCTGAGGAGGTAAGTTCAAAAGCAAAAACTTTCTAAAATCTAATCAATGGTTTATATAATGTTTCTTTGATAGTAACCAGAGTTTAAAAACTGATATAATACAGGAAGAGTAGTGGTTTCTCTAGAGGAGCTTCGATATACCGAGGTGTGACAAGGCATCATCAACAAGGACGTTGGCAAGCAAGGATTGGCCGTGTCGCCGGGAACAAAGATCTTTACCTTGGAACCTTTGGTAAGTAAATCAATAAACTTGGTCTAAGTAATAAATTAACAATCATGGACTGCGTTTAATTTGGTTGTTGTGGTGGTGTTGTAGCAACGGAAGAGGAAGCTGCTGAAGCGTACGACATAGCAGCAATCAAGTTCAGAGGAATAAACGCTGTAACTAACTTTGAGATGAACCGTTACGACGTTGAAGCCATCATGAAGAGTGCCCTTCCCATCGGTGGTGCAGCTAAACGTCTTAAGCTCTCTTTGGAAGCTGCTTCATCAGAGCAGAAACCAATCCTCGGTCATCAACTTCACCATTTCCAGCAACAGCAGCAACAACAACAACAGCTTCAGCTTCAGTCATCTCCTAATCACAGTAGCATTAACTTTGCTCTCTGTCCTAATTCAGCAGTTCAGTCTCAACAGATTATTCCATGTGGAATTCCTTTTGAAGCAGCTGCTCTTTACCACCACCAACAACAGCAACAACAGCAGCAACAGAACTTCTTCCAGCATTTTCCCGCAAATGCAGCTTCTGACTCGACCGGGTCTAATAACAACTCCAACGTTCAGGGAACAATGGGACTTATGGCGCCGAATCCGGCTGAGTTCTTCCTCTGGCCTAATCAGTCTTACTAAAACCAATCATATGAGTTGATTGTGTCAAGTTTTTATCGTTTTTAAGGGACACAACTTCTTGATTCTGGCTAACCCATAAGCTGACTAGAAGAATCTGAAAATCTCACTTTTGTTTTTGTTTTGATTAACTGTTGTTGTTTAGGCAGGAGTAGTTGGGGGGTGAAATGTGGAAGAAAGGTTGGGGTCATTAATGTATTAAACCTAAACTCGGTGGAGGAAAATGGTAGTTTTTGGGAATTAGGAGGTGGTTTCTTTTGTATCTTGTATGTATAAGGCTATCAGCTTATCCGCAGTGTACTCTGTTTCCATTTATGAAAAAATTATCTTCAGAAAGTTCTGTGTTGCTATTTGTTCAATATCTATCTACTTATGAGCTCATTGGTTAACAAATTGACAACTCTTTTCGAGGTTGAAACTAACAAAGTTCAAGTAGAACAACAGAGAGACACATGTTGATGATATTCACAGTTTTGGTTGGAAAAGCAAAAAAAAGCAACCAATGGAGAATACCAAGCAAAACTCAAGTCAAGAAAATAAAAATCTAAAAAGGTAGAGGAAGATAAACAGTTCTTCTTGTTTACTCTACAAGGGGAGGCATTGTTATTAGGGATTAAGTTGATCTTACTGCTTCTACTTACTCCATCAAGAGTTGCCTATGGCGACTGAGTTCGTTGAGGTACGAGGAAGAGGTGTGATCTTGTAGATCGCATGCGTTTACACTCACCGCTCTTTCCCCTTTCTTCTGCTGCAGCTCAGCTGGCCCGTCTTCTCCACGCAACAGCTGCACCAACTGCACAAGAATTCACATTAAACCGATATACATATGCTCTGTTTAGTTGAACCAAACTTCAGGTTTTTGCTCTATGTGAACATGTGAAGATTAGGTACTATACCCGGGTCATGTCAGGTCGCATTGCGGCTATATGATGTATACACATTGAAGCTGTTAGCATCACCCGTTGCATCTCTGTTGGATTAAACTTATTTCCTAGCCGAGGATCCACAATGTCCTCCATGCTATTCTTCTCAAGAAAAGGTTTTGCCTGTGATACGAAATCAATAAGGTAAACAAAAGATCTCCAGCTGAAATTTTGATGACTCTAAATAAAGAGTTTCAGATGCATTACCCATGCAACAATGCTCTGCCTGCTTGCAGTATCAACAGCTCGGCGGCTGGTTATGATCTCTAGAAGCAATACTCCAAAGGCAAACACATCAATCTTCTCATCAACAATGCCGTGCATGAAGTACTCTGGAGCTAGATATCTAAAGGGGAAAAAACCAATGAAACCTTTAGTTTTGATCATCTCAGCTTTTCATTGAAACTTTAGAAGCTTTCTCTCTTTTACCCGAATGTTCCTTCAATGGGGAATACAACATGATGAGGCCAGTTCTCTGGGAGCCATTTTGCAAGTCCGAAATCTGAAATCTGTAACGAGATATAAATGGTTCTCAAACCAACCAAATACCAAGAAAATGTTTAAAGATGTTGTCAAAATTAAAAATCATTTACCTGAGCTTCGTAATCGCGGTTGAGCAATATGTTAGAAGCTTTGATGTCACGGTGAATGATCCGTCTTGGGCAAGCATTGTGAAGATAACTCAGACCATCAGCTATACCTAGAGCCACTTTATACCTTATCTTCCACTCTAGACATTCCTCTGATCCTACAAAGATCAAAGAGACAAGATCACAACATTGTATAAAAAACACAAGATTGTTGTCAGTAAGGAAACTATGAGTATACCAAAGAGCATAGAAGCAAGGCTGCCATAGGGAGAGTACTCAAGCACAAAATGCAAACCGCGATCACTGCTGAAACCACGAAGCCTAGCTGCGTTTGGGTGGTTTACATGTGCGATTATACCAAGCTCTGAAAGGAAATCGCTCACTCTTTCTTCTTCTTCCTTGGCGTGACTCATCAGCTTCTTAATAGCTACCGTCTCACCATTAAGCAAAACCCCTTTGTATACCTCCGCATGACCTCCCTTCCCAATCATATTATCTAGCAAAAAAACAGAACAAAAACTTTCCTTCAGAAACACAGATTCTCAATCCAAACAAGGGTTTGAGTTTTTGTCTTTACCAGGATTGAAATAATCGGTGGCTACAGCGAGCTCTTCGTAAGTGAAGTTTCTCCAAGAGGGTTTAGCCATAAAGAAGGCTTCACAGGTAAAGGCCTTCTCAGAGGGAGAGAGCTTAGGTTGCTTACGACGCAAGTTTTTACGGGTGAGTTCATAACTTGCAAGAAGAGGAATGACAGAGAATCGTCTCATGGACTTCTTCTTGATAGATTCAATCATTTTGTTCCATTGAAGACCATGGGAAGAAGACGAAACGTTTTTAGTAGTATTTGAAAATGGTGACGATGTTGATGATGATTTATCATCAGAGGAACAAGAGCTGCAACTACTGCTGCTGTTGTCAGAATCTGAAACCATTCCAAGAACACCTCTTGGCGATGATGAATCTTCGAGGCCTAAGTCGTTCCTATGAAGCTCTATCTCTTGATGATCTTTGCTTTCTTTGTTCTTGTTCTCTGTGTATGTAACAAGGAATACAAAAAGTCAGTTCTATAACATGTCTGCGTTAATTTTCATAAACCCAGAAAAAAATTTGAAAGGCAAAGAGAAATTTCATCAATAATTTTTTTTTTCCATTTTCTTAACAAACAAAAACAAACAAACATTATGTTTTGGTACTTTACCTTCAACAGCCATAGCTCCAATCGTTTTTTTTCTTTCTTCTTCTAATAGGATTTTGAATTAAATTTCCATAAAAACAGATTCCCAGAAAATAAGAAAGGACACAAAACAGAGAGAATTGTCGAAAATACAGAGCAGAACAGAAACAAGAAACAGAGGTTTAATGAAAACTTTTATATAAATCTTGTTATGATTCTTGTGACAAGAAAAAAGAGAAAAATTAGTTATTCTTGGAAGAAATAGAAAGTTAGAAGAAGAGTCAGCTTTGCTGAGTGGAGGTGGATTGGAATCTCTGCTATATTTATACAACTCCACCGTAGCAATTCAACTTTTGTTTTCTTTTTTACTTTCAACTGCAAGTCAAGTCAAGTTTTGTTTTTCTTGTTTTGTTTTCTTGTAATTTCTTGTTTCTAAATTAGTGCTTATAATTTTAATAATTCTGAAGAGGAAGGTGAAAGGATTAGAGATTTGTTGCCGTAACTAACGCATTTACGATTGTACGAACTCGAACGGTTGATATATCTAAAGCTAGTTTGTGGGCATTTTTGTCTGATAAAATAAGACGCATCACCTTTGCTTGTAATGAATTGAGATTTCATATTAAAGGGATTTTGTTATGATTATATTTCACTTAAATTATATTCTCCGCAAAATAGCTAATTCGTGATGAAGGAAGAAATTAATAGCCCATGTGAAATATGGACATCTTTTAGGGTTTTTGTTTGTTTGTTTTAGCAAACCTAGTTATTTTCTCTCAAAAATTTGAGCTTATGTTTTTTTACATGTAAACCTAATGTCGGAACATTTCTGTTTAAAGGTTTATAATTTTGGATGACGGCTTGACATTATTTTGATTTTAAAACAACGAAAATTAGTAAAAGTATACAAATAAATTTTAAACAAAAGGAAAAAAAGAAAGAACGATGTATGGATTTGCACTTATAGGAGTTGACAAATCTTTAGTTAAAAAATCGACAAATGGTGAGTGTGCCGTCTGTTTCTTCTTCTTTATATTTTCAATTTTTCGTGGCGGCATAAAGAGAGGAAACATATGGCAGACAAATTTGACTACAAAATTAAGCCATCGTATCAAAATAACCGTACTATATAATACTATCTTCATTCACAAATACCACTATCACTTTCAAGCCATATAATACAAAAAGTAAGTTTCTACTACATAATCCCTGTTATTAATGCTTTGAAAGTTGATAAACATAAGAGCTATCCATTCGTAATGATGGCTATAATTGTTTTGGTTTACGAATAAACTAGAGTTTTCTTTCTCAACGTAACCATTGTCAATTTTTCATGCGTGACAATTTGGACCCACCTCAAACTTGCACCAATGGCCAATGGGATGCAAATAATAAACACAATTCTTACTTTATAATATGAGGCGTGGATAGATTCCTCAATTTGCGAGGATTAAAATGACTTTATGAGTTATATCATCCATCACCTAAGGCGTGGAGAAAAAAAAAGGGTTATCACCCGAAGGCATTAAAATCAACCAACTTTCCGTGAGACAACCCAAGTGAAATGTTTAGCACTTGTCTATTTCAAAACGCCAAACTCAATTCATTACATTGAAACTCCATTAATTAGTAACAGTTAGGATTGTTTTCTAACACGTATATGTAGATGTACATATAGTTCATACGCAAAAGAAAACTTCTTATATATACTAATAGTTTTCATGCTAACATCATTAGGTAAATTACAAATATATTCTACAATGACTCGGTTTATAGAGTAAACTAGTACTCGTAATTTAGTCCTAGATAAAAACAAACGATCGCAGTGTAAGTAGGGAAGATTAATTGTGTTAGTTGGTGAACTAAACCCGTTAATATATACTACCACAAGTCCACAACCATTAATTTCTATCTTAAATTTCTAAAAAATAATATACGCCCAAAAATTAAATCGCCACCAAACTCACCAATGTGAATTTTCAGTTAGAGAAGTCAGTTCAACCGATTTTCTCAATGGTTCTATGCTATGACATTCATTCATTAATTATAAATATTGTGATTACTAATCACAAATAAGCGTCTGTAGCTCAGTGGATAGAGCGTCTGTTTCCTAAGCAGAAGGTCGTAGGTTCGACCCCTACCTGACGCGTCTATTATTTTATCGAAACCTGTTTTTTGTTTTGGCTTTTATAAGCCCAAACCAACCCAAAAGAGTGAAAAGACACCAACAAACTGAAATCAGAATTCAAATAAGATCTATCATTTTTTAGCACAGGACTGAGTACAACACACACACAGAAGAAACAACAAAGATCAAAAATCCAGAAGCACAAGGACTAAATCCAACACATAAACACAGAAGAAGAAGAGTAAAAAACAGGCTATAATAAAGTCAGCAACAATGGATTTGCTCAACGGCCATGTTGAGCACTTGAAAATGTTACAGTAGCAGAGCTAACCGATGTAGTATTCGAAGATGATACATGATATGTAGCAACAGGCATTTTGGTCGGAAGATGAGGCAATGCTGCTTCAAAATTCAAGACTTGGATCGCTTGTTTTATCGAAGGCCTCGAGTTTCTATCAGGATGAGCACACCATAGCCTTACAATCATGAGACATTCTGCTTGCTTCTCATCAAAACCATCAATCCTGAGTTTCTCGTCGATTGCTGTGATAACTTCTCCTTTTCCATAGAGATCCCACACTTTCTCTAAAAGGCTTGTTTCAGGCTCCACTCTTCCTTGTCTTGGATCCACAGATTTTCTTCCTGTAACAATCTCTAATGTAACCACTCCAAAGCTATAAACATCAGATTCTTTGCTCGCCCTTCCGGTGCTTATGTATTCAGGAGCCATGTAACCAAATGTTCCTGCTATCCCCGTAGTCTGTGGACCTAGCTCGTGGTCCATCAATCTAGCCAACCCGAAATCACCAAGCTTGGCATTGAAATTGGAATCCAGCATCACATTACTCGGCTTGATGTCTCTGTGCACAACACACTGCTCCCACTCCTCGTGAAGATAAAGCAGCGCAGAGGCGATACCAAGAGTTATTTTGCATCTCACAGGCCAAGCGAGATGCGGCTTTTTACCAAAAAGATGGGCGTCGAGACTACCATTTGGCATGAACTCGTATATCATTAGAAACTCATCTTTCTCATGGCACCAACCAATGAGTTGCACAAGGTTTCGATGTCTCAAACTGCTGATTATCTTTACTTCAGTTACGAACTCTCTCTTTCCCTGCTTTGACCCGCCAGCAAACTTCTTTATTGCAACCATCATATCCAAGCCGTTTAAGTACCCTCTATAAACCGCTCCAAACCCTCCTTCCCCTAGCTTCCTATCATCTGCGAAGTTATTAGCAGCTGATGCAAGCTCTTTATAAGTAAACTTTTTCGGTCCTGCTCCTCTTTCAAGATCTTCATTTATCGATGTTAAGTTTTCTGTCTCCTCTGCTTTCTTCTTCTGCTGCTTCCGTTTCAAGAAGACGATGAGAGAGGCAATAAAAAAGGTCAGGAAAACAAACCCAGAAACTGAAATACCAATTATCATCCCCTTCTTGTCATTCTGACTTTTCTTTATATCTATTAGCTCCAGGCTTGAACTGAACTCCCATGACAGAAGTCTATTTCCCTCGGTGACCCCTCCAGATGTCGCAGAAAACCCGATTGTAACTTCTGATGGCAGTATCTTTGAGAGATCAATGATGTAAGATAGGCTTGGATTCTCCAGAGGATCAGATGTTAAGTCGTAAGTCCAAGAGACACTCAAGTTTCTTCTAGCCGAATCATAGAAGATCAGTACACGGCCTATATCTTGGTTGTGTGAGGTTGCATTCCAAGAAGTGTAGTTAGAGGAAACAAGAGAGTTGTTGTTGATTCCCACATGAGATTTGATGTCGAGAGGATCCCATTCTGGATTAGTAAATGTGTCGAATTCGACATGAACAAGTGGGAAAGCAGAAGACTGATCATTGGTTCCATTGAATAGACCCAAGAAACCACCAGCTGAGTTGGGAGGCAATTGGATTCTCGCTGGAGCTAGAAAGAAAGCGAACCCATGACCGTAATTGCCATACCCAACATTCCGAGTATCAATTCTGAAGGAGAAACGCGTACTAAAATCCGAAGGCTTACTGGTACCTGGATTCCATAAAGGAACCTGCTTACCATAAGTAGCCCAACCGGCACGGCATGTGTAGTCACTGTTGGTAAGCTCAACAGCCCCATTTGCTCTTGCATCTCCTTGGTATGCTATTTCAGAAACATCTGACCCAAAACGAGATATGTTAAATTGAACTGAACAGACAACAGGGAGAACCAAAGCAAAGGAAAAGAACAAGACTGGGTTGGCCATTTACAGGCAGAAGCAGACGTATGAGCATAAGAGACCAAGAATTGTGCAACTGATATGTTTACGTAACAGCAAGTCAATGACTAAACCATGATTAGAAGAATGAAATCATTTGAAGCGTGATCCCAGCTATCACATGGAATTTTTTTCATAATGAAGTCGCCAAATAGTTGACCATAAGAGTAAACAAATCATATCCTTGTATTGATTGCTTATGAATATGACATAACAGAATAGAAAAATGAGGAAGACATGTTTGATACTCATCATAAATTGTAAGACAGCTTATAATAATCACAAAGGAACTCAGGCATATCAAAGAGAAGACATATTTTCCCCTCAAGCCAATAGGTGAATATGCAGAGTCAAAACTTTATAGACTTCAAAAATAAGGAATCACAATAAAAGGTGGACCATTTAACACTAATATTTTCCACAGAACTAGTTTATGCACAACCACTATAAGTAATTGAACGAAGACATGATTAGTCACCAACATAGATGGTTCATTCTGTAAACTCAAGAACATGTCAATGCACAAAAGATCAAAAAGATCTGTTCTTTATGAGAAATATAAAAACACCAAAATTCAAGAGACCACATAATAAGCGAATATACTTGCATCAAGTCAATGAGAAACCTAGGATTAGAAAAATAAGATAGCCAGCTCAAACTCGGATAACACTAATTAGCATCAACCTTCAAAAGAGAAGCTTTTCCTTTGTTTTGTCAACTAAGTCTATCTGTTATCATGAAAGGAATGTGATAAACAATTGTATAAGAAAAGCAAAACAAATTGACCAAAGTAATATTCAAAATTGAAATATATATTATCCTACGTGCAAGAACAAACCCAGATACAAAAACAACATTATCTTCGAAAACGATGTGAAAACATTAAGAAAAAAGTAGGAACTAATTTTAAAATCTGTAACATCATGCCTTGCAGAAAACAATAAACTTTCTATGACTTATCCAGTTATCACAAAAAGATCATTTCGTCGAACACTTGGTGGGCATGTCCTAAAACCAAACCAAACCAAACAAACAACCTAAAATCTCCAAGTCCGGTTCAAAACTCAGAATACAAAAGTTTTGATTTGACGAAATTACCCTTTAGCATTGGCGAACGCAAACGCAGGTTTCTGTTATTCTCACTTTCGCCCCTCAACTTTCTGTCAGTCACATTCTTTACCCCATCTGTCTTCCCTCAGATTCACCTCCACTCCACTACCGCCGCTTCTCATTCTCTTCCTCGTCAATCTCCATCAATGGCTTCTGAAGATTCTCTCTCCTCGAATCCTCTATTGCAGAATTTTGACTTCCCTCCGTTTGACTCTGTTGATGCTCACCATGTTAGACCTGGGGTTCGTGCTCTGTTGCAGCAGCTCGTACGTCTTCTTCTGAAACCTCGTTTTATTGGACTTGTGTATTGTTTCTATGAACATATTATGTTGTCTACGTTATTGGATTATTGACATTTGCGTGAAACGATTTTTTCCAGGAAGCTGAATTGGAGCAGCTAGAAAAAACTGTAGAGCCCTCATGGCCGAAACTAGTGGAGCCATTAGAGAAGATTATTGATCGGTTATCTGTTGTTTGGGGAATGATCAATCATCTTAAGGCTGTCAAGGACACGCCTGAGCTTCGTGCTGCCATTGAAGAAGTTCAGGTAGATTTTTATTTTTATTGTATTGCCAAGTTTTTCTCTGCTCTTGAGTGGCTTAGTTCAAATTATCTACTTTATTATCAAACATTTTCATCAATGATAAAATGATAATTCACGGATTTTTTTATGGATTCAGACAAAAGGGATTTTGAGTTTTTGTTTGTTTGATCGGTGAATTAGTAGGATTCATATTCTTGTTTCCTAACCTTACTTTCATCTGCAGCCAGAGAAGGTGAAGTACCAGCTCAGGTTGGGACAGAGCAAACCCATTTACAATGCATTTAAAGCTATTCGAGAATCGCCAGACTGGAAATCACTGAGCGAAGCTCGTCAACGATTAGTTGAAGGCAAGTATTCTAAAGATTATCGATAAGCAGGCGGAATCATTTTATACTTTCAGTGTTTAAAGATCTGTGCTAATATGGTTTCCATGTGTTTTCAGCGCAAATAAAGGAGGCGGTTCTCAGTGGTATTGCTCTTGAAGACGACAAGAGAGAAGATTTTAACAAAATTGAACAGGTTTGTTCTAAAACTCTTCACAAATAAATGTCTAACTTCATTTTCTTACTTGATTTGCCGCTTTCCACTATAGGAACTTGAAAAACTTTCTCATAAGTTTTCTGAGAATGTTTTGGACGCTACAAAGAAATTTGAAAAGTTGATAACAGACAAGAAAGAGATCGAGGGGTTACCGCCATCTGCACTTGGATTGTTCGCACAAGCAGCTGTTTCCAAGGTATAAACAATATCTGAAAGATGTAGAAAATTTCATGTTGATTTACATAGGGTTTTTCAGTTGTTGATTTGTCTTAATATATGACCCAAGGGCCATGAAAATGCAACTGCTGACACTGGACCATGGCTCATTACACTTGATGCTCCTAGTTATCTTCCCGTCATGCAACATGCCGAAAACCGATCTCTACGGGAGGAAGTCTACCGTGCTTACTTATCCCGTGCCTCTTCGGGTGATTTAGATAATACAGCAATTATCGACCAAATCTTGAAGCTTCGATTGGAAAAGGCTAAGCTTCTTGGTTACAGAAATTACGCTGAGGTATAGTCATCTAAGTCAACCTACTCTCCTTTACTCATGGGGCTTAAATTAAATTTCATTCTCCCTGTCCAGGTAAGCATGGCCACGAAAATGGCTACTGTAGAGAAAGCAGATGAGCTACTAGAAAAGCTTCGCAGTGCTTCATGGGATCCGGCTGTTCAAGGTAAATTCTAGTGAAAATTTTCCTTAAATCAACATATAGTTCTTTAAACTAGTAAGCTGCTACTGCATTTCTCTATCCAATAAAGTCTGTAACGGTGTCCCTCATAGCTTTTTTTGGTATCGGCCATTCAAGACAAAACCCTAATTAATTTTATATGTGTTATGGACTTAGACATAGAAGACCTTAAGAGTTTTGCTAAGAACCAAGGTGCTGCAGAAGCTGACAGTTTGACTCACTGGGACATCACTTTCTGGAGTGAGAGGCTTCGTGAATCCAAATACGATATTAATGAGGTTCTCGTCCTTATTCTTTAGCTTGTGATACAATTGTATATTGTTTTGAAACTCTTGATGCTTATTGCTCACTGCTTGTAATTTTGTAGGAAGAACTGCGACCTTACTTCTCACTGCCAAAGGTTATGGATGCATTATTCGGTCTAGCTAAGACACTATTTGGAATTGATGTTGTTCCAGCAGATGGTGTAGCTCCGGTAAAATCTGGAACTTAATATGTCGTTTTTCTGTTATGTCCATCATTATTATGTTTGTTAACATGTTATATATTATTGCCTTGAAGGTCTGGAACAGCGATGTTAGGTTCTACTGTGTCAAAGATTCTTCTGGAAATCCAACTGCTTATTTCTACTTTGATCCCTACTCTCGTCCTTCAGAAAAGAGAGACGGCGCTTGGATGGATGAAGTTTTTTCTCGTAGCCGAGTCATGGCCCAGAAGGGTTCCTCCGTTAGGCTCCCTGTTGCTCAAATGGTCTGCAACCAAACTCCACCAGTTGGTGACAAGCCAAGCCTTATGACATTCCGTGAGGTAAAGAATATCTTAAATTCTACATCAGTTTGTAAAGCATATATTGATTGTGAAGGAAGTAAATGCTGAAAAAATGAAATAATAATGCTGAATACGTGTGGTAGTTGGTAACAAACTATGAGTATCCATGCCCACAAGAGTAGTTTTTCCTGAACTAGAAGTTACGGTGCCTGAGAAAACTTACTTCATGTGTAATTTTATTAAATTATTGGACTATTGTGGAATGGTATTCTCTCATGGTGGCGTGGAGGGCCATGCTATGACAAAAAAATTTACAATCATCAGGAGTAGCACTAGATAGACCACTTCTCTTTTCGACATATGTGTAGCTTTCCATACTTGAAACTTTAGGTGCTTTTGGAATTAATGTAGGAGCTTGACATGAATCTTGATAAGCTTACTCTTATGTGCATGATCAAGGACTCATGATCCTTGTTCTTATGACAATAATATTATTCTGATTTACAGGTAGAGACTGTGTTCCATGAATTTGGCCATGCTCTTCAGCATATGCTTACCAAAGAGGATGAGGGGCTAGTGGCTGGTATCCGAAATATCGAGTGGGATGCAGTTGAATTACCTTCACAGTTTATGGAGAACTGGTGCTACCACAGGTACTTGGGTTCACCTGCCTTGCCGAATTTAATTTTTTGGGTCCCGTTGATTTTTACCCTCTTACCAATACTTCGCAGTGCTGTGTAGAGGCATTTACTAGTAAATTTATAATGAACATTATCTGAATGTGGTTTCAGGGATACCTTGATGAGCATTGCTAAGCATTATCAAACAGGAGAAACTCTTCCCGAGAATGTATACAAGAAGCTACTGGCTGCAAGAACATTCCGTGCAGGGTCCCTTAGTCTTCGCCAGGTCAGTACATCATATCAAACTGTAGATGTTCATATGTAGAACCAAGCAAGATTCTCTTCTTCAGCGGATCTGTACACATTTCAGTAAATATGGCTCTTGTTTGTTCCAGTTGAAGTTTGCTACAGTTGACCTGGAGCTGCACACAAAATACATGCCAGGTGGGACAGAGACCATCTACGATGTTGATCAAAGGGTGTCCATAAAAACACAAGTGATTCCTCCACTTCCTGAAGATAGATTCCTCTGTAGCTTCAGTCATATATTTGCAGGTAACATCCTTAAACCCATTTTGTCGTAAACGCATCCTTAACAGTCATGTGCACTTAGCATAGGTGCGTTTGATAGTTTGTTTCACTTGTTCACCTACTCATGTCTTGTCAGGTGGTTATGCAGCTGGATACTACAGTTACAAGGTAAATATATCCTCTAGTTTCTATATAATTCACCGATACAACAGATCTCTTCATGACGGTTCTCTCTCTGGTCAAATATCTAAATATACTCTGTGGAAAACATGCAGTGGGCGGAGGTTTTGTCTGCAGATGCGTTTTCAGCTTTTGAAGATGCTGGGTTGGATGACATCAAGGTATGTTGCTGCTAAACAAAACTTATTGAAGCTTTGATTCGATTTTCCAGATTGTGAACATCTCTTTGTGTTGTGTGGGTTCCAAAACCACAGGCTGTTAAAGAAACAGGACAAAGATTCAGAAACACAATACTTGCTCTGGGAGGAGGAAAAGCACCTCTAAAAGTAAAAATCTATTCTCTGCCTTTATACTATAGGTTCTACTTATCATAAATCCAAGTGGTTTGTTTCCAGAGCTTATAATGATCAAATGTAATGGTAAAATATTGAACAGGTGTTTGTGGAGTTCAGAGGACGAGAACCTTCCCCAGAGCCTCTGCTCAGACACAATGGACTCTTGGCTGCTTCTGCTTGAAGTCTTGAACTAATAATGTCCTTTGCTACTCTCACACTCAACTTTGGGATTATTATTGTCATTCAATGAAATTAAACTTTTTTACTTGCTTGTTCACTGAGCATGCTTCAAGTATTGTAGTAAACATCTCAGAGATGTGCAACTTGGTAACAAAATAATGGTTCATGAACGAAACGAACAAAGATAATACTTTTTCTTCGAACCATTTTCACATTCTCCATTACATATTTCTTTCTTCTTACCAAACTCATTCCCGACAAAAAAGGAACAAACCAACCCTCTGTTCTCAATCTTTTCTTTTACTAAGTCACTCTCAACCCTCTGTTCATGGTGTCAACAATAATCTAAAAGAACTAAAGAACCTTAATCTGAAAGAGGAAAAGGAACTCTTCCACCTCTTGCTCAACCTAGAAATTCTCTAACTACCCTTTACATTTTTTCCTCTATCTACTGTTTCCCTAAAACTTAAAATCTTTTCTTTCGAGTTTAGCTTCCTTTCCCTTTACACCGAAGTTCCACCTCCGTCCAAATTCTCTGATTCTAGTCTCCTCGAGTTGTTATGCATATATCAACGTACGGTCAACAATTATTACGGGGCTTCTTTTGCCTCCACAAATGGAGATTGCACACTATCCGCATCCGAATCGCTTCCTGATGAACTCCCTGACTCCGAATCTGCATAGAGTCACAGACACCAAAAGTCGTTTAAACATTGGCAAAAAGATAAAACAACTAACTGAGAAATAAATGATGGGACAAGATTTTATTACCACTAGATGAAGAACTGCCACTCGAACTAGAGCTGCCAGAAGAACTAGAGCCACCACTAGCAGCCGCGGCTGTACCATCCCTTTCAATCTCCACTGATGGATAATCCTCAACTGGTATATCTTCACCAATGTCTACATCCTCTTCTCCTGCTTCCCCTCCTTTCCTCCCTCTCTTCTCAGCGCTTCCCATTTCTGTCACCAGAGGCTGATGATATAGACAAAGATCAGTACTAACCAGACAGAAAAAATGCGTTCTTTTTGATAAAAGGATCAGAAGTTTGCTTTACCATGTTTCTTGGTGGAGTTGACACATTCTGGATAAACCCTTGTCGCTTGATCTTGCTTGCCATCTTTTTATAGTTAGTGACAAAACGATCAAGCTCCCACAGAGTCTCATTGTCTAAAGCTTCAATATCTAGCTCAATTTCATCACCATCTTGAGGCAAATCTCTTGTTCTCTTCCTAAGAATCTGAATCAACTGTCCAAGCTTCTCAGGAGGCAATTCTTGTAGATTAACGCCAAGCTTTCCCTTTTCTTCCATTGTCATCTGCCGCTTGTTTGGATCCTTAGCCTTGGGCTTTGGTAACTTCCCTTTCCTTCCCTTATTCGTTTCACCCACTTCAGGTGGTGTTTCGACTTGTCTAACCGGCTGGGGAGGTGGTGGTGGTGGTGGCTGAACCGGTGAAGGAGGAGGAGATGGGTCACGTGTTATCTCCATTACTGGAGAAGGAGGCAATGTAGGTAGTGGCTTCACAGAATCCAGCTTTTTAGCTATAGAAATCTGTTCAGGTCCTTTCCTTGCATTCTCCGCCACATGAATCTGATTCCACACTCTCTGAATAAGCTCAGGTTCAGGACGAGAAGATGATCCCATAACTTTCAGCTCTTGAGCCTCGAATTTCTTCAATGTAGGGTTGAACCAAACGTCAAATTGACCCAGAAGCTTCTCAGCCATTAAATAAACATCTTGCCCCTTTGGATTATACGAGATCGCATTGGTGAAAGTCAACCTAACATCAGAAGCGAAATCAATCGGCGATCTGTAAAAACCCTTTTCCAGATTCATCTTCACAGTACCCAGGTCCATTGGCTTCTCCACGATCACATGATAGTCATGAAGCCCTAAACCTACCACATCAACAGGCTGGTTAAAAACCCATGACCATTTATGCTTCATCAGCTTCACCAAGATCTGACCACACGTCGTCATCATACTCTTCAACACCTTCTCTGGCATTAGATCCAAAGCCACCGGACGCTTAAGGCTAGGCTCGTCCGTAGCAAACGGATTGCTTCGCTTCTGACCATGCCCAATTTTCTTCTTCTTCGTCTTCTTCACTCCAACGTCATTCGTTTCATCAGCAAAGCTACGAGCTTGACTAGTATAAACAGAGCCGCTCACGAACGTACCGGATTCGATCCTTTCTCTCAGGAACCGAACTTGCTCGAGCTCCGAATTGAGACGCTTCTTCAGCTCCCTGAGCTGATTCGAGGTGTACCCATCAAGATCAAAGGATACGTAATCTCCACAAGCTAACGAATCATCGAAATGCTTGCTCGAATTGTTCCCGTAAGCGGAGATTGAGTTAGGGTTAGGGTTAGGGTTGAAAAGAGGATTGTTGATATCACCGGAAAGGGGTTGGTTTGTGTATTTCCTCATAAAAACGGCGCCACATTGTCCCAGAAACAACGGTTCGTTTAGGTTAGCCAAAACCGTAGGTGCCATACAAAAATCGAAGGGCACAAGATCATATCAGAGGGATAGAATCTCTTCTCTCTCCGCCGGAATCAGACCTTTGATCTGATCCTTGTATAACTTACAAACGTTAAAGTGAGAAATAAACACCACCGGAAAAACAATTCCGGCGATCGGAAGAAAGAAGAGGATTATTGTTTGGCGAGGAGGACGAGGAAAAATAAGGTGAGGCATCGTCTCTTCTTAAAGGACATTGAAATCTGCCCGTTAAAACGCTTAGTGCTTCTCCTCACCGTTGATTCGAGATCTGACGGTTCAGATCTGTTTGATGACGTTGCCCGATCCATCTGCCCGAGTAAGCTGACATGGACGGCTCAGATTGCGTTAATTTATCCAGTGACCGTTCCATAGCCGTTGGTTCGTGAGGCGCGTCGTGCCTCGTGTGTGCTTTTTTTCTCCTACGATTTTCTTAATTAAACAAAAATTAGAGGCAAATTGGTAATTTCGGAGTCTGAACTGCTTCACATGGGCCCACACTGAATTTTCTTTTTTTTCTTTTTCTATATTTTTCTAATTGAGACTTCTTAATATTCTCGCTTTCACTTTTGCAAAGTCAGCCATTTCTTGATAATCCGTCCACTTGTTAGATTATAAATTCCTATCTCCTCATAAATTTAGAAATGCATCACAATTTAATTGATAGAGATACATAAATACAAATACAAAACAAAATTTAAAGAAATTTATTCGAGACTAAATCGACGGTCAAACTCGCCGGAATTGAAGGGGTAGAACAGCCCAGAAACACCGAGATTTTTTTATTTTTTTTCTTAAAGCCGGAGGAATTAGCCAATTGTGGCAGCGTCCGACCTTCAAATGACGAAAATACCCTTTAAAAAGAAATCACAAGTTAATGATGAATCTGAACTGTAGAAATAACCCAGATTTCTCAGGGATCTAAATTTTTGTCTAGCCCTTGATTCCTTGAACCAGATCAACAAGAACTTGTAAGAGAGAGAGAAAGAGACTCGATCCAAGATTTAAGAAAAAGAGAGGTGAGAGTGACTCAATTATTGAGAAAATAAGTGCAATTTTGTATATATACATTTGACGAGGTTGGTTTAAATCTGAGCCGTCGGATCCTTGATTAAAAACACACATCTTTCCATATATGCTGAGGTGTCAGGTTGTATACTGGAAAAAGGAGGTCATAACCGTAAATAATAATAATAATGTTGCGTCTATCCCCAAACACAACAACAGATGTGGGGACCCAATTTCCCTGAAAATCGTGGGACCCACGACAGCTCACCTTTTTCTGTTCAATAATCTCTCGCACGACCACACGCGCAGCAAAACTACGTGCGTCTCACACTCCCTTAGCTGACCTGGCTTTCTAGAAAGAAGGAATTACATTTTTATTGGCTTTTTCCGGATTACAGTTTTGTTTAGAATTCAACAGATAGAGAATGTTGTAAATCTCCCAAGAACAAGGCATGAATCCCCAGAGGAATCACTCTCTTCCCGACATCATTCGCTACGCTTAGATACTTGCAAGGATCGATCACGAACACTGTTTCCATCATCTCATTAGAACGAATATGAACACGATCAAATCCAATCAGCTGCTTCTCCGGAACTCCAGACAAAACCCGAGCCATTTTCGAAAACAGCATCAGAACATGACTACCGTCGATTTCTCCCGTATTTCTCACGTTAACCCGAACATTAAAGCGCAGAGATTCGCAAGAGTTAACCATCACATCATCGAGTTGTATGTATTGGAGCTGTTCTTCTCCGTGTTGTAGTAGTTGTTTCTTGTGAGAAGACTGTTGTGGAAGAAGTTCTGATAAGCTAAGTCTGATTGGTGCTGATATGATCTTGTAATCGAATTTCGTGTAGCTTAAACCAGTTCCAAAACTGTAAACTTGAGGTCCGGTATAGAATCTGTATGTTCTTCCTGGATATCCACGAGATGAATCGGCTCTCATGTGCATATCCGACATTGGAACATCCGCGAAGGACTCGGGATACCACGTTATCGGTAATCTTCCACCTGCAATTGAACCGAAACCATAAACAGAAAACGGAATGGACAAATGATGCCTTGATTTGCTATAGACTAACCTGGATTGAAGTCTCCAAATATGATTTCAGCTAGTGCTTGTCCACCGGTTTCACCTGGATAACCAATCCAGATGATGCTTCCGATTCTTGGGTCAGTTTTAGCAAACGTTACATCCACTGGTCCTCCACCGGTTAGAACAAGAATCACTGGTTTTTTGCTCACAGCTGCAACAGAAGACACAAGATCTTTCTGTTTACCAGGCAAAGAAAGACTAAATCGATCCTTATCCTCGGTTTCTTGAGAGAGATCTAATCCTGCAACTACTATGACAAAATCCGCTCCCTTGGCGATGGCAACAGCTTCTCCAAATCCGGTATCAGAAACACAAGACACGTCTGAGCAACCAGACGCATAAGATGTCTTCTTTACGTACTCCAGAAGTTCCGTGAACAAAGTCTTTCGTTGACACGGCTTTCCTTTACAAATATGACATTTATAAACTATTTCAGCCAGGAGAAGAATTTAGCCTGGTTGAAAATAACAAGAAGATAGATAGTCCGAACCTGTATAAGTACCGCCCATATTGCTTATATTATTCGCCATTGGACCAACGATTGCTAAAGAAGAAACATGGTTTTTGTTCAAAGGCAACAACTTGTAATCATTTTTCAGAAGCACGATACCCTGTCTTGCTGCTTCCAGTGCCAATTTTCTGTGGTCTGAGCTACAAATGTCATTTGATCCTAACTTTCCGTAATGTCCTCCTCTTGGATCACCATCAAAAAGTCCAAGACGAAGTTGAACAGCAAAGAGATTTAGCAGAGCTCGGTCTACTAGTTCTTCGCTAACCTTCCCTTGCTCAATCGCCGATTGTGTGTTCCGAAGCATGTATGTTCCACAATTTATATCCACCCCTATGAACACCATCTCAGATTTCATTTAAAAAAAAAGAAATATTTACAAGTTAACAAGTGTAAAAAGAACTCAAACGGACCTGCTTTTATTGCATCGGCAACAGCTTCCTCAGGTGACTTAGTATATCCTTGGTATTCGAAAATGGTTGCCACAGCATCACAGTCTGATGTAATGTACCTGCACAGATACAAGAAAAAAAGGCTTCCCGGTAAATCTTTCATTGGCCAGATCAAGTATCACCGCTCTTTCCTTGTTGAAGATTCACTTACCCATCAAATCCCCATTCAACTCGAGCTTTTTGTAATAAGTCTCCTTGCGCACAAGCAGGGACCCCATTAACTGCATTATATGAACACATCAAGCAGCTAGCTTTACCATCTTTTATGCAAGTCTCAAATGGGGGCTGATATGTGTCTTCCATGTCCTGTTCTGTGACCTACTAATACAGAGTAAGCTAGACTCAGTGTACGACACAAAACCATGGAGATAATGCAAAAGCCAGAAGCAATATAACTAGTTAAATTCTGTTTCATGGACACCAAACAAAGGTGCAATCAATAAAGGCTATAGATCTAATAGCATGATTTATTTATTTTTGAGTCAACCTGATCCAATAAACCTGAGAGTTATCAATTGAAGTTGATCCATAAGCTACACTCATAAAGAAGAAAAGAGTTGTTAGTCTTACCACAGCATTGAAGTCGTATCTAGTGAAATTCCCCCATTTTTCCAAATCATAGGCAGTGAAATGCTTACAACAAGCAGATAACATGAGTTTCCCATCAGCATCATCATCATAACGAGCATCATCATCAACATTATCACTACCAAATCTTGTTTTCAAAACCTTCCTCTTCTTCTTCTCTTGAAACCCTCTAACGAACTCAACTCCATACTCGGAAACTACCTTGGGATCCTCACCAGGAGTCTCCTGCCCTCTTCCCCATCTCGGATCCCTAAACAAATTTATATTCGGAGCCCAAAAAGTCAACCCAGCTTGACCACCGTTGTACATAGCCCGAGCTTCCACCGCAACAGCAGATCCGATCTCGTACCATAGCGTTCTATTGAAAGATGCCGCTGATACGATTACCTGAGGAAAACTAGTAGCGGCGGAGATTGAACCGTTGAAAGAGACGCCGGGACCGTTATCGGCGAGTCCGTGTAACGACTCCGACCACCACTCGTACGGAGGGATACCGAGACGAGGTACTGAAGCAGCTGTGGTTGAAAGCTGACCGATCTTCTCCGGGAGCGTAAGGAGAGAGACGAGAGAAATTGCTCGTTGTTTAATGGATAGAGATACGTTGCAGAATGGGTAAGAGCTGAAATGAGGAGGTTTACAGGGGAACTGTGGATGAGAATCGAGGTTTTTGAAGGTTTCAGCTATGGCTGAAGTGAAGAAGACTAATGAGATTAGAGTCAACTGATGATTCATATTTTCGTGGAAAATAAATCTGTAGAGAAGAGAGAAAAAAAGGAAATTAAAAGGTAGAGTTTTAAACCGGACTAAATAGACCGGTGAATTTAAGATTAAAAGTTGAACCGGTTGGTACTTTGTTGTTTCTTGTTGGTACTTGTCATCCAACGGACGGTGGATGGTACAGTAGTTGAATTACTGACTTTTCCCTTTATAACATGTTAACTACAAAATGGGCCAAAACATTTTATAGGCCTTATTTATGACTTGGGGTTTTATAGTAATAATAATTAAGATCAATGAACATAACTATAGTTATATACTTATATCTTAACTAGATGTGTCAATGGCACAACCAAAATATTTTTTTGATAATATTAATTCATTACCATTTTTATAGACAAATGCTTGAATAATTTTGAATTTTTGATACATTCAATGTTTTTTTTACAAATGGGTGGGTTTTTCAAGTGTCCAGTTGACAAAAGAAAGCATTAAATATTCTTTTAAAAAATAAAACAGTATTTTTAAATTTCATATAAAATTTTTATCCACAATGATTTTAAAAAATTAATTGTAAATAACCAAAATCGAACAAAAATTATAAAACAAGCAAATTAATGTATTGTAGTTACTGAATAAAAGTCAGAAACAAAATAATTTACTTTCGTGTAGAAACTCTCTAAATAAATAAACCAAAAACTCAAAAGTCCAAAATTGAAACTTAACAAAACAAACCCAAGAGTTTCAAATAGGCATCCCTAGAGTGTCATTTTTTCTTCTTATATTGTTACTTTATTTTATTTCCAAACTTAACATA